TTTTTATGAATTAAGCCTAGAGAGCCAAGATTTGGAATTTTGTGCCGGTCTTGATCACATTAAGACCGACTCAATACAATTCTAGTTCTTCGTTCTTGATTCTGGGTTCTTGGTTCTCAAGTCATCATGCCATGTTCCTTCGCCTTAGTTTTGCTCACTTTAGCTTCGATATGTCGCGGCGGTTTGGCATTATCAAAACCTATCATAAACGAACACAGTTTAGTACGACGAAGGCGTAAACCCGTGTTCCAACAATTTCCCCTTTTTGATTATGGCAAACAAGACGGGGATATGCATACTAAGGGATATGTGTTTTTCAAAAGTTGTGAAAAAAAAGTTCCCCCTTAATTTGTGCTTTTGAAAAAATTAGGTGGATTAAAATTAAAATCAAACGATCTCGTTTGTAGAGACGTTCCCCCTTAGTATATGCATAGCCCTTTTCTTCCCCCTTTTGACATTAACAAAAAGATAAACGAAATGATTTTATTTAATAAAGGGAAATGGCTGAGTACAACGGAAGCATTAAAAAACTCAGTTGGAGATAATGGGCCGAGCCCATTATTGCGCATATGGCAGACCGAGAAAGGAGTGGGACACGTGGCCCACGTCATTGGGTCATATGCGGAGTGGGAAGAGAATGAGACCGGAAAAGGGGGGATCACAACCCCATGATCTCCATACTCCTTTCCATTTTTGTGTAATTCTAATTATAATATTAGAGATATTATAAAAAGGGGGAAGACCCCGCCATTGTAAAGCATAAAGTTGTTCACGACACAAGTGAAGATTATTATTAAGAGATTATAACTTTCTGATTTATATTACGTTCTTGGTCCGCCATCTGATCGGGTTAATCCCATCATTGGTGCTTCCATTGAGAGTTACTGTGAGATAAGGCTGTGAGATTATGGCCGGACGAAGGACGAGACGTAACCCTGCTGCTTCCGCACAGTCGACAGTGAGGAGTGACAACCCTGAACAGGGTATGATCTTTCTTGTCAATGGGTTGGAAACGGCACTAAATAATGTGGCTAACATGATGCCCAACATTATGGAGCGATTGGATAAGGCTCTTCCAGGTCCATCCGGAACCCGGGACATCCCTGCCGGGCAACCCCGCCAGGTCCTGCGTACTGCAAGTTCTCTTATCCTCCAGGAGCTCCATGATCCGGAGGAGGTAGAAAGGGAGAGGCAAGCCATTGACAGACGCCGGGCGGAGAAAATGGCCAGGAATAACAAGGTGAATGATGGCCGGGCTAAGGATTTGAGCCGGATCTTCGGCGATGGAAACGAGAACCCGCGGGCATCTGTCTTTGAAAGGATATCTCGCCAGAAAGCTCACGTTAGTGAGAGGCTGGGGAAGAATCCGGAAAAGGCACCCCAGGGTTGGATACGACCCCAGACCAGTCAGGTGGCATCTTCCAATCGCGAACCCCGGCAGCGAGACGGCCATGGCGCGAGCCAGGTGCTGGTCCGGTCATTGAGGAATCTGGAGGAGGACGAGGTTCAAAGCCAAGCCAGGGTCCCAGCACCATGGCGCCTGGGGCCTCCGGTGCCGGAAGCTGGTGAATTCCAAGATCTGAGGCAGCAGATCCAGGAGATGCAGAAGAAGATTAACAAGGGTCGAGTATTCACCACCCGTACGAATACTCCCTTAGCCCTGGAGATCTTTGCGGAACCATATTCGCGGGGATTCAAAATGCCGTTTGTTAAGCGTTATGATGGAGAGTCAGACCCCCAGGAACACATAAACAGTTATGTCCAAGTAATGATCGCCGTAGACGCCGGCCAGTGACGCACTCATGTGCCGGTGCTTCTTGCAGACCGTTGATAGCAAGGTCGCGGATTGGGTCAACCATGTCCCTGCCGGATCAATCCAGACATGGGATGAATTGGGGCTACGGTTCCTAGAACATTTTGCCGGGAACTGCCGTCCCAAGAAGCATTTCACTCACTTGGCTTCAGTGCGACAGAAGCATGGAGAATCCTTGAAGAATTTCCTTATCCGATGGAGGAAAGAGTCAGGGAGGTTGAGGGAACCGATGATAAATCCAGATTGGCCATGTTCACAGCGGCGTTGCAGGATGGAATCCTTCACACCGATCTTACTACTCATCCCCCGGATACCTTCGAAGAAGCGATGGTTCGGGCGGGGAGGTATGTGACCCTGGAAGAAAGAAAGGAGGAGAAGAAAGAGAAGAATCATAAAGAAGAAGAGAAGACGGGAAATAAGAAGCCGTTCAAGAATAAGAAGCAAGGCTTCCCGGATGGCCCTAAGGGCGCAAGTCCTGGGACCTCGGAGAAGCATAAATCTGCCAATCCAGTCTTCACATTGCCAGTGGCTGAGGTCATGGCCCATGCTGCACAGCTCATGACTTACCCAACCTATTCTCAGAAGGTTTGTAATGTGGAAGACACTAGAAAATGGTGTGCTTACCATCGCAAGAATGACCACAACACGGAAGATTGCTATACTCTGAAGAATGAGATGGCAAGGCTAATCCGCCGGGGTCATCTGAAGAAGTTCGTACAAGATGGTGACACGGGAAATCCCGGGAATGCTCAGAATGGAAAGCGCAGAGATAAAGAAGTGGCCCAGGCTGAGGCCCGGGAGAAACGCCACGCCACATTGGGCTTGAAGACGAAAAGGAGGATTCGGAACCCGCACCGCATCGCCAGAAGAGACACCACGGGTGTAACTTCATCATTGGAGGGAATACTGGCGGGGACTCAGCCACAAGCCAGAAGAAGTGGGCTAACGCGGCGATGGTCAACAAGGTGCTGGTCCCAGAAGGTAAGAAGCTGAAAACCGAGCCCATTGTATTTTCTAATGCTGATCTTCCAGAGATAGGGGTCCCCCATAGGGATGCCCTAGTGATTACTATAGATATAATGGACTTACTGATCCACAAAACCCTTGTGGATACGGGAAGTTCCGTTAATATCATGTATATGGATACGTACAAGGCTCTTGGTTTGACAAGGGATGAATTGTCACCCATCAAGACTCCACTTACGGGTTCACTGGTGACTCTATTGAATCGGAAGGGGTGATAACCCTCCCGGTTGAGATAGGGGATACTAAGGCTACCCGAAAGCTGGACATGGAGTTTGTCATGGTAGGGATAATCTCCAACACAAATATTATCCTGGGCAGACCCGGATTGGAAGATTTGGAGTGTGTCATATCACCTCGTCACCTCTGCATAAAATTCCCAACCCCCCACGGAGTTGGAATTGCCAGGGGATCTCAGAGAGTATCCCGGGCATGGTATTTGAAGGCAACCAAACAACCGGTCAAGTACGATACCCAAGTGGGAGAGGTGACTGCGCAGCTCCTGAGGGCTGAGGAAAAACGTCCCAGAGTAGAAGTTGACAGCGACATTGAAGAAGTGGAACTGGAGCCAGGCACGCCGGGAAGGTTGGTCTGGATTGGTAAGGGCCTGGGGGCTGAACTCAGATCACGAGTGATTTCAGTCCTTAGAAGGTTCAGGAGGGTTTTTGCATGGAGTCCAGAGTATATGCTAGGGCTGGATCACAAGATTGCAGTTCATCGCCTAAATGTCCTGCCGGATGCCAAACCAGTGAAGCAGAAACGAAGGCATTTGTCACAGGAAAGAAGAGATTTCGTAAAGAAGAAGGTAGCAACCCTGCAGAGCATTGGGCATATCCAGGAAGTGCAATACCCGGATTGGTTGGCAAATGTAGTCCTGGCGCCCAAGCCCCCTTCGTGGAGGATGTGTATCGACTACACAGATTTGAACAAGGCATGCCCCATGGACCCGTTTCCTCTCCCCAACATTGATCAGATGGTGGATGAGACTGCCGGGTTAGAGTTAATGAGCTTCATGGACGCTTTCAGTGGCTACAATCAGATTCGGATGCATCCGGCAGATGCTGAAAAGACAAGCTTTATGACCCCAGAAGGGTTGTACTGTTACTTGGTGATGGCCTTTGGGCTGAGAAATTCTGGGGCAACATATACCCGGATGGTTTCTGAGATGTTCAAGGCTGTCTTAGGGCGAACCATGGAAGCATATGTTGATGAAATGATTGTCAAGTCCAGAGAGGCCCAAGACCATGTCCGGGACCTTGAAGAGGTCTTTGAAATCATGATGAAGGTAAATCTGAGGTTGAACCCGAAGAAATGTACTTTTGCTGTTCAAGGTGGGAAATTCCTTGGGCACATGGTTAGCCGGAAAGGAATTGAGGCAAACCCAGAGAAAGTAAGAGCCAGTATGGAGATGGAACCCCCGAAGACAGCAAAAGAAGTTCAACGGCTAACAGGGAGATTGGCGGCCTTGAATCGTTTCCTTTCGAATCAGGCAGAGAAGGCGCACCCATTCTTTGCGGTGATAAAAAAGAGGGCGACCTTCGAATGGACACAGGAATGCCAAGAAGCATTCAAAGAACTGAAGAGATATCTCGCAAGCCCACCGGTTTTATCTAAGCCAGAACCTGGAGATGTCTTGACTCTATACTTGGCAATTGCAGATTGTGCCATAAGTACTGTGATCGTGAGAGAAGAGCATGGGGTCCAACATCCGGTCTACTACATCAGCAAGACCCTGAGAGATGCGGAGTTAAGGTATTCCCGTCCGGAGAAAGCCATGTTGGCGGTCTTCTAGACAGCGAAGAGATTAACTCCGTACTTTCAGGCTCATCAGATTCTTGTGCTCACTAATGAGCCTTTGGCGTCACTTACCCGAAGCCCGGCGGCATCTGCCCGGATGACCAAGTGGGCAGTCTTCATCAGTCAGTATAACGTGGAATTCAGGCCGTGCCCATCGATCAAGGGGCAAGCACTCGACGACTTTCAAGTTGAGTGCACCGCCAGAGAAATGACAAGAGCGCAGGTTGAAACCCGGGTGGAAAAGGACTGGTGGGTAATGAGCATCGATGGATCTTCTGGGTCTCGATCTTGTGGAGCAGGTATCGTCTTGATCACCCCGGAAAAATTCCGGATTTATTACGCTATCAGATTTCAGTTCCGCGTATCCAACAATGAAGCTGAATACGAGGCCCTGATCAACGGATTGAAGATTCTTAGTAAGATGGGAGTGTCCAGGGTTCAGGTTTACAGCGACTCCCGATTAGTGGTGGGACAAATCACGGGGGAGTTTGAAGCAAAGGAAGAGATGATGAAAAGGTATCGGGACTTGTCCTTAGAGATGTTGAGGAGGTTTGAGTTTAAGCTTGAACATATACCCCGGGCCCAGAATGCGGAGGCCGATGTTCTATCCAAGCTCAGCGCAGAATCGCCGGAATACATAAGCAAATTAGCAACCGTCGAAGAGCTAGTAACCCCGAGTCTTAACAGCAGTGAGGTGATCTGGGTATCAGCTGATCCCCCGGAATGGCTGGACCGGTTAGCCAAATACATTGAGGACGGTGAAGCCCTGGAGGATCCCCAAGAAGCACGTCTGTTGCGAATGAGGCCACCTACCTACAAGGTACAGGATGGAGTCCTCTATAAGTGGTCTTACAACCGTGTTCTACTCCGTTGCCTCAGGGCAGCAGAAGCAAAGGCAAGAAATACATGAAGGAGTATGTGCTGCACATCAGGGTCCTTACTCCATTTCCAGAAGGGCTATTATCCAGGGATACTTCTGGCCAATGATGAGAAGGATTGCGAAGAGTATTTACGCAAGTGTCCGACCTGCCAACAATTCCAGAATATACCCGGGAGGCCAGCCACGAATTACACGCCCATCAGCTCTGTGATTCCCTTCTCGGGATGGGGGATTGATATTGTGGGAGCCCTGCCGAAAGGAGCTGGGCAGGCAAGGTGGATTGTGGTGGCGATAGACTATTTCACAAAGTGGGTGGAAGCTGAGCCACTTGCGGGGATCACCGGAAGGCAGATGATCGACTTCGTCGGAACCAATATACTCTGCAGGTTTGGGGTCCCCAAGCTGATATATATCCGGGAGCATGCCCGAAGACTCTCCATAGCCGGCCAAGGGAAAGACAGATCAGGGGAATAAAGCCCAAGTGTGGTGACATTTGAAACTTCTCCATTTTCCTGTCTTAGAACCAAACCCAACACCATGGTTGTCCTACACCCACCCTAGGCTGAGCCCACACTCTCCATACCTTCCCTAAACATCCAAAATATTTCCTTTTCAAAATAAAGTTTTCCTACTCCTATTTTAGGCCCTGGCCGAAAATAAGAGTGTGTAAACCACAACCTTTGTTTGTTGTTATTTTCTTTCTTTTAAACCTTTTAATAAACAAATAAAACCTTCTATCCTTTTCTATAAATCCCAGGCCAAATATCTCTCATTATCCTAACACAACATCAACCAAGATATTCCCCATTCTTGTCCCCTTAATGTTCCCTACTAGGGCTGAATAAACAACCACAAAAAGCCAAGGGACATTTGAGTTGTTGTTGATACACCACCTACTAAATCAGTCACCTCATATGACCAAGAATATAAGGCCAATACACCATCCATCACCCATCTTTGTTTGTCCCCTCTTTTTAGCCAGAATATCAACCACAATCATCAAAGGATTTCATTCATTCTTTGTGATTTTTGCCTCCACAACAGGACAGACAAAGCCAGCTCCAAAGCCAAGACAAAGTCAAACAAAATCAGCCCTTATCAACTCAAGATTGGAAGCTAGTGAATGATAAAGGGATGTAGGAAGGTTCCTTGTATTTGCATTCATTATATTGTGTGTTT